CAGAACAACAGCAACAAAAACCTTGCAACAGGGTCCGCACTCTTACTTGTTTCATAGAATATTTCTGTTTCTTTAAATCTCCCATTTTTAACTGAGAAATATTCAATATGTTTCCAGCACCAAACCTATTGATAAATGCAGTGGTAGAGAACGGAGCCTGGGTAATAAAGGAATACCGAGCCACCTGTGGCACCGTCTGTGCACATGATACCAGGCAATCTGATGGCAGGCAGAAGACCTTCGTGTGTATTCATTTGGGGGGTTGCTGTGCTGATGGCAAGGCTGAAATTGCAAAAAGGGAGTGTTAGCATTTGGGGGCAAGTAGCAAATACTGTTTTGTTTTAATTTCTTTCTTTTTGCAGCTGCATTAAACCTAAAAAAGGGGGCACATTTCTTTGTCTTCTCCCCAAACAGTGGGAAATCAGACCTTGTTCCTCAATGGTTTGCTGTTGACGTGTGTTGCAATTTCTTAGGTGCTGGAGAAACCACAAAAATGGAGTTGGGATAAGATGCATTCTGGAAGCCAGGGTTTGTCCATCCCTGCGGCATTTTATACACCCCGGGAGACCCTGCCAGCATCTCCAGGAAAGCTCCAGGTTATTGCTGGAGCCAGTTCCTGCAGTCTTACCAGGCTAAGCTCAGACCGAGACTGATTTGCCCCATACGTGAGGAAAAAACCAGACAGCTTCTCTTATGCAGGCAAAACTCAATCATCTAGAAGTGCAGAAATCTGCTAACTTAATTTTTTGTCAGACAAAACTGCCTCTGGGCTCTAAGAATAGGAAGAAGAGAAAAGGAAAATGCAGTTTGACAAATGAAGCAGCTGCCAGATTACATTCTTCAGCACGTAAGGGACGATCAGCCTCCCTCTGAAAACAAAACAAAACGTGTCGCGAATAATGCAAGCTTGAGAACTATCCCAGAACTTAATGCATTTCTGAAAACGCAGGAAATAAGCCATCGCAAGAGCAACTCTCTTGCACAGGAATGAACGTGCAACCATTTATTGTTGTTGAAATGAATCTTCTCTTAGAGCACGCTATTGATGAGGTTGAGCTTAAAAGGAAAGACCCAGTGAAGTCTAAGATGCCTCACAAGGTGCCTTCTAATCTCCAAACCACAAGATTTACATCAGAGCTATTTCATCAGTCTCTTATCATGACACATTATGTATAGCTGCTACAGCAGCATCCTTAACACCTGATATGAACGCTGAAGGAAACAGTCTCAATAGCTTGCAAAACCAACCATCTATACATCATTATTTGATCACAGCATAGAGATTAGGAAATGCGCAAGGGTGCTGGGTGTGCAACTCCATGGCCTGGTCCTCCAGGGGAGGCTATGGCAGGTAAGGAAAACTGGAATCCTGCAAATAGATTCAGTGCCTTATGTCCTCATCCCCATCAGGCAACCAACTGCTGAAATTCAAGGTTGTCTCCTGTCCTGGATCACTTTCCAGTTGCCACTTTTTAAACCTTCCTATAATAAATAATTGCACATTTAAGTTTATTTTTGATAGTTGAAACAACTTGATTATTATCTCTGATGAGTTAGTGTTTGCTGCCACGGGATGAGCAGCTAATGCTGATCAGGGCGTTGCATGGCTGAGGGAGGGTTTGGACCTGAGTCCTAAATCCTCTTGCTTCCAACCCAACACTGATCACTACAGTGGCTGTATTTACACAGTCTGCAAAGCCATGATGTGGTTTGCTAGTATATGGTGTAGTGTGTTGTGTGTCCCAACCATTATGGTATAATTATGGCTTATGTTGTACGTAAACCTAGCTAAATGTGGTCATTCAGCAAGCCATGATTAAACAGGCTCTGGCTTAATGTTGTTCAAGAGGTGAATGAAAGGATTTCAGCATTTAAATGGCAAGGGCAGAGGGAAGGATGTACGTACAGCATTGGCTGTAGGATCAGGGTTCCTGACTTGATGCGATACTCACTTTGAAGTCAACCCTACAAAATCCTGCAGGACATAATTCAAAACAGACATAGGATTGAACTTTCAGCCTTGGATTATCAATATTAAGCAGTTAATTGGTTTGCTGCGTTGTAGGAGGAGAGCCATGTTAGCCTATTATTTTCTGACTAACAAATTTTATTAAAACGCATAAGCTATTATGAGTCATAAAAGTTTATGACTTTTAATAAAATTTGTTAGTTGGAAAAAACTAACTTCCAGAATCAGATTTCAGGCTGTAAAGAGAACAATCTTTTATGAACAATCATGCAGAAAAAGAACAGGCATTGCTTTTATGTCAAACACATCTGAGAGAAAATACTTAGTCCTTCACAATGAAACCCTTCAAAACAACCATGTAAAGCTGGGTGTTTTAAGCTCATACACACTGCTTAAAAGCATGCTGAAAGCTCTTGATCTTATGGTAGAAACAGTCCATTTTGGGGCCCAGCATGCTAGGGGTCTTATACCTTCCTTCTAAGACAGTCTCCACACACAGCATCCCCATAGTCTTTTCAGGCCCTCTTTTCCCACCTCCAGGAAGACCCCTTGTCTGCCTCCACTCACAAGCAATAATCTCCACTCAGCTGGGAACGGAGAGTTATCCACAGAGTCACTGTTTTGCAGTATAATCATAAAGTCTATGAAGCATGAAGAGAGTTTTCATGTGGGTGAGTAACCTGTATTGGGAAAAGTCAGTCAGAGTGATGCTGTTCATTACTGCCCTTTGCAGAAGGGCTAAAGTGATCACTCCTGGCCCTCCCTAACCAACAGCACTGGAACTATGGGGGAGTAGCAAAAGTGCCGGAGAAACAATAGATCCAGTGCAGGTTTATGATGGGGACTGGGGCTGATGGAACACAGAAAGCATCCTGAGACCAGAAGTGATCATTTGTCTAGTTCAGAGCCAGGCCCTATCCAATATAACTCCCTTGGTGCCCACCACGCTCTCTGTGTAATCTGACTTTTGAAAAGATTCCTTAAGCCTAAAAAAGAACTTAAACAGAAAGCTGGCATATGTAAAACTATGCATCAGACTTTAGTATCTCTTCTTTTTCAAGAATGCCTTTGGACCTCACAAGGATTCCCTGCATTAATAGCGATCTGGAACTCATTCATCACTTAGTAAATAGGTGCTTTGTGAAGAACCAGCCCATCAAGGCAGGTACTCTGTGAATGCACCCATCACATGTGCTCATAATTCAAAAGATGTCCCCAAATGAAAAAGAGTGCCTATTCATGATCTAATGCAAAGTTTGGGGTGTACTACCAGTTTTATTTTTTTGTTTAGCCCCTGAAGACAGCAAAGAATTATGTTTTGGCTCACGGTTTTTGAAAGATTGTACACTTGGAGGTTTTAAAGGGCTACTTCGATTTGATTTTAGCCAACATCAAAGTTTGGTAACTTTGGGGTCGCATATGGTCCACAACCCTATTTTTGTAGCCCCCAGAGCAAACCCAGATTTTACCAGTTAAATTCAGTGGCAACCACTGATTTTCAGCTGTGTGATTTTTCATGTTTTGAGAATAAAATAAGTACATCAAGTCTCTATGAGGCTTAACAAACTTTGCAGATCATTTAATACTTGCTGGAAAGCTGGCACAAGATGCAGGACTAGTGGACTTTGGCTTCAAACAGCAAGGGGCTTCAGATGTTCTTCAGCTGGAGTGCATCCTCCTAGACAGGTTTCTAGCCCATAGGATTTGCTTTTTAGTTTCACTAGAATCAAAAGAATCACCTACTGGAACCCAGGGCAAAAATGTACGCTTAAAGTTACACCATTTTGAGTCCAATAATGGGTGCTATTAGAACCATGTGTTATGGGAATTACAGCCCTGAATCTGTCAAAGACACCTCTTTTAAGGTAGCAGTGCCATGACCCACCTGCCAGAGTTTCTGAGTGGCTGAAACGGCAATAGTGGAATCATGTATATTTCCTGTGTAGGGTTTACAAAGCATCAGAAACTGTCAGACAAAAGTAAGCTAGATCAAGAGCCAAATATTCCCTATTAGTTGTAAGCATGTCCATAAGTCACTCCAGGAGTCAATGAGAAGTGAACCATCAAGCAGTATAAGGATCCAAGGCAAACATCTGAAACCAGACCATCAAGGGGAAGAGGTCCAGCAATTTAGAAAGAAGTCCATGTAGCAGAAGAGACCCTGACATTTTTAGTTCTGGCTACTAGAATCTGAGACAAAACTCTTGAAAAACCCAAATCCTATTCACTAGAGCATCTATAAAGCAACTCTCCTTTTGAGTAAGACCTTACTCAAGGTCTTACTCAAGAAAGCCTGTTTCTACAGTCACTATCTATGTATGTACTATTTGGATTTCTCATTTTTAAAGCATGTAAACCAAACATGGCACTCCAAGATAGAAGGGTCATGGTAGAAGCAACCACTGTATCAGGCTGTTTGGGATTAACTATGCCTTGGTGAAAAGAAAGAAGGGAATGTTCTCAAATTCCTGTTCTGTGATTTTTTACACTGAACTCTCAGAGAACCTGGGGCTAATTTAATATTCAGGTTAGGTAAGCCAGAAACTCATTCTTTCCTTTGAGGAAGCTCCCAGACCAGGTCAATGTTTAACTGGATTCACCAAGTGTGGTGATGGGAAAAGTTTATAACGGCATTCCCATGGCAACTGGTGGCCTTTGGCTCTTGATAAATGTGTGTTTGTGCACATGCGCACATATGCATGTGTGTATGTTCGGAAAGAAAAATGCCACTGGAAGACTATGTTAGGATATGTTGGGAATCCAGATTCAGCTCAAAAAGCTACTAAAGAAATCCACAGGAAAGAATACCAAAGCTGTTTTCTCCTCTTCTGATGCCCTTGTCTTCCTAAGGAGATATCTTGAACTTGGTTCTGTGCTTTGTACTTTCCC